TCCAGAAATGAGAGCCAAAAACAAAAGATAACTTGGAAACTGGAAAGCAAGCAAATCATAGAAAAAAGACTGACCAGATGTAGAGGAAAATACACTATTAATAAAGTATTCTTGCAAATTAACAAATGCACATTTTGTAGCCACATGCTATAAAGCACAGGTTTCTGAACAGCCTGGTGATAAGTCAATTCTTTAATTACTACAGCCTAAAAACCAGAAATATGATCTTATCTCTGACTCAAGACCAGAATATGGAGGTGAGAGTAGAAGGAAAGAGAGGGTTTAAGAGAGTTTATGCTGACACACAGAGTAAAGAATATTCTAGGCCTCGGTATCTCATAGAGCTTAAAAAAAAAAAAAAAATCACATCTTTTTTGTTTTGTACTTTTTTTCCTGAAACTTCATTTCTGACACAGTTTTAGTAATGACTATAGCATGAGCTACTAGTTTTATGCTTTACATAATTTGGAAACTATGATTCAAACCTGCTATCATATGGCATTAAAAAAACTGGCTGGGGAATATTATCTGCCATGTACCTGGAACGGATTTTTTAAAATTCCACCAGAAGGGTGTTTCGATGATAAAATAAACCACATAGTCAACTCATATTATGTCAGCTATGCATCCATAGGTTTGATAAGGAAATACTTTCCTATTTCACAGTGTAGCCAGATGGTTCCTGAAGCTCCAAGGACCAAAAGAACTCCCCTGTCACAGTAAGAACTAAAGCAAATTTAACAGCTAAGTGGCATTGAAATAAAGATACTAGTAGTGTCTCTATCACAGTAGTTTTAAGACATATACAGAGAAAAGATTGCAAACCTAGCTGAATTAAATAAATTTGCAAAGGGAAGTGTGTTCAGTTTTCAAAATCGGTGTTTCTAGAGGAAACAGAGAATGGTGTAAGGAACTTTGAAATGCATTAAAGATTATAAAATAGGGTTTCTGATATTCTCTGGAAGAAGCATTTAGCTGTGAACAATGTTTTGAAAAATTCAATGATAGCTATTCACAGTTCTATAACAACATGGAAGTTGCTAAAAGATAATGCAAACTAGACTTGTTTTTGTAACAGTAAAACCTTCAGGAAGACCGATACCTTCATATTTGCAAGTATGTTTCAGTTTTTAAAGCAAAGATTTAAAATCTGCATTTATTCTTGATCAGTCCTAAAGCAGGATGAAAACTGGTTGGACCCTCTTAAAGGGTTTAACTAGCAGGAGGGAAATGCAGAGCTTTCCACCAACTTCTAGGATCTAGTGTGGATTCACACAAACTTCTAAAGAAAAATAATGCTGTATGTCCCTCCCTTCTCCCATCCAAGTCAAAGAGCAGAACTAACAGTATGATCCAAATTACATTTTCTTTGAATATATTTCACAGTTTGTTCCTTTGGAGCAGTATTCTTACTCTCGGCTGCTCAAGAATCATCTCCTGTCTATTCTCTTAGGATTCGTTTCTCTTGGCACTGTGTCTGTATCACTTGGCCACGAAAAAATCGCCTCCTACTGTATTTTTTAGATGTGAAAATTGCTATTTATAAATGAAGTCAAAGAGAGGTTTCATTCAAGAAAGAGTATGGCACTACCTATTGTATCATGCAGGTAAAAGACCAAAGATATTTGGTTCTGCTGCTAGCAAGGTTTGAAGATGATGTTACTCAGACCATCCGATGGCCAGAATGGATCTGATACTCCTG